ACAAATAATCTACAGAATCATATGGCCATCTTCTCCTGCCTCCTCTCTGCTAACAGACTAAAGCAGGACCCAGGTCCTAACCCCTTTCAAAGTAGAAAGACTACTGTTGACCTTAGAGGTAATCACCTCTAGGTAATCCACCCCAGGAAGGCAAGAACAAATCACAGCATACTCACATTTCACCTTGGGGTTCATTCAGAGTATCAGATGGTTATTAAATAAGTCAATGTTTGCTTTGTGAATTACAAACTATTAGATAAATATTGGTTTTAATGATGGCTATTCTTTCCAGTCTTTCTCTGTCTAATAAGGAAGAGGTCATTACATTTGAGTGAAACACCTAGATGTGTTCCCTAATGAGCCAAAACATTCCCCTGGAACAAAAACATAGCTGCAGCTGATCTGGTTGACTCCAAGATACATCTCCTCCCTAGGGAGGCTCTTCTTCAACCCCTACAAGAAAAGGAGTCTGTCTTGTCAATAGCAGCATATAGAGAATGGAGTCAACAGTCTTCTGTGAATATCCAGGGTTGGGGAGAAGCCAATACATGGAGCCTTCATAGGAGAGAAGAAGGCTCATAGGAGAGAAGAAGAACGTCCACAGACCTGTAAGCTGGCAGAAGAATTTAGTCCAGGGATAAGACAATCATGAGAGAAGGCGTTGACTTCAAACCCAAAGAAGGTCAGGTTTCCTTCTCTACTGAATCTGAGTACTTAGAATTCATCTGGACCCACACTATTCTCTACCTACAGAGAGTACCAGCTCTGACCCAACCTAGACAAATCTGGAAGCTTGCCGTATTTTTTTAATGCCTGTGTTTGTTCCAGGAAATTCCAATGAATGGGGTCCATATTTGCCAACATTCTTCTGGAGGCTCTAGGAAGAAACTTCATTTACCCCAATCTGACCCTCTTCAGGGAGCCTTACTTTATTTTCATACTCAGAAACCATGCTGTAAATAACAACTGTTAACCCTACAGGAATCACCTCTATGAAATCAGCAGAGGTAGGTGGATTTGGATTTTCCACCACAAACACCCCCTTAGTCCTATAATCCCTCTTCTTCATAAGAATCCCTCCAATACTGAAGACTCACTGGAAAAGACCCTGAAGCTGGGAAAGACTGAAGGCAGGAGGAGAAGGGGACAACAGAGGATGAGATGGTTGGATGGCATCACAGACTCAATGGACATGAGTTTGAGCAAACTCCAGGAGATGGTGAAGGACAGGGAAGCTTGGTATGCTGCAGCCCATGGGATTGCTAAGAGTCAGACACGACTGAGCAACTGAACAACAATATTAAAGACAGCTATCACATCTTCCATTTGTTTTGTCTTTTCCTGATTAAATATTTCCACATTCTTCAGATACTCCCTCATACTTTATACCTGTATGCCTGTGTGCTCAGTCGTGTCCAGCTCTTTGCAACCCTACAGGCTGAAGCCCGCCAGACTCCTCTGTCCATAGAATTTCCCAGGCAAGAATACTGGAGTGGGTTGCCATTTCCTCCTCCAGGAGATCTTCCTGACCCAGGGATCGCACTCATGTCTCCTGCATTGGCAGGCAGATTCTTTACCACTAAGCCACCTGGGAAGCTCATACTTTATACCTGCTGCTGCTGCTGCTGCTGCTGAGTCGCTTCGGTCGTGTCCAACTCTGTGCAACCCCATAGACGGCAACCCGCCAGGCTCCCCCATCCCTGGGATTCTCCAGGCAAGAACACTGGAGTGGGTTGCCATTACCTTCTCCAACTTTATACCTACTAAGTCCTAATTCATGATAATCAAAAAAATCTTGAAAAAAGCCTTAAATCATTTTCACATGAATGGCTACAAAATCAGGTCTTATCCTTCCTGTATTTTTTCAGCTGACTGTTGAAGTCTACATGGTGATTTTATATGTGCCCTTGCTAAATTTCATCTTGTTTTTTAGTATAGCATTCCAAAAGACAAGACTATTTTGAATTATAATTTTATTACCTGTAACATTGCTTTCCCTTCTTTGATTCACATCAAAGTCTATGTCTATCAAAGTCACTGCTAAAACAGGTGAAGAAGACAAGATCTACAAAACCTTCTCCTTTTCACTAGAAGTCTTTCTCAGACTTTCAAAGGGTTATTTCTGAATAATTTGTTATAGTAGCCAAGCTAAGAGTATTCTCTTTAAGCTCAAAGTCATCATCCTTTCTGCGACATTTACTAGAATTGATATCCCCTTTTCCTACTCTTTTCTCCTGATCTACTAGATTGGTTTTCATCTATTAAATTATTATTAATACCATCAGTAGAAGACATTATGTGAAGTTTCACACTGTAATTTGTATTACATAGCTCCTGATGATATGTCCTTTGAGAATTCCAAATGTTCTGCAAAACATCTAAGAATTTTACCAGGGATCAAGGTCAAATTCACTGGTTAACAAGAGCAATAATAACTTTCTGATCATAAGCATTGATTCAGAGTATAGATTTGGAAAGTTTTGAGTCAGTGGACTGGTTTGTTTATTTGGTTAGTTTTACTGGCTTCTTCTCTTGCTCCATCTCTCTGCTAAACATAGAGTCCTATTCCACTCTCAAGTATCTCCCTAACTTTTTAAGATGTCACTAGTAGCCAATGGAAACTTGTTGTATGAATCAGGGAACTCAAATGGAGGCTCTGTAACAACCTAGAGGGGTGGGAAAGGGTGGGAAATGGGAGGGAGGTTCAAGAAGGAGGGAACATATATATACCCAATTCATGTTGATGTACGGCAGAAACCAAAGCAATGTTGTAAAGCAATCACCCTTCAATTAAAAATAAATAAATGTTTAAAAAAGATATCACTAGTACATAGAAGACAAAATATGTTCAAAAACATACGAAAGTACTCTATTTGCTCTATGTCTATACATCCCCTGTGACCAGTGTGTGTCTGCAAGATGTAAGCTCAAGACCAGAAGGAAAGGTAGGGCCAGGAAAAGAACACAAACACCCTGTGTTCCTGCTACCATCTGCTAATGTCGAATGTCATCTTTCTTAACTTCAAAAATGAGAAAACTCTACATTATGTTGGGCCTTCTGGTTTCTTGAACCTAACACACACACACACACACACACACACACACACACACACCTCTTTGACTTCCACCTCCAATCTTAATCATGGTTCCATCTCAAGCTCTGAATAGCAATATTTCAATATTCTCTCAGTTAAGGGAGGAACCAGATATTCCTTCTTCCTTTTAGGAATCATTTAAATGTTTCATTCTCTAAGCCAAGCATTAATTTCAGTTGCTAAAATTTTCCATGGCAATTTACTGTTGGAAAGTTATTATTATAACTTATTTATTTATTTATTCCACAAGTATTTATGAAGGTTTTCCTGTCTATTTCGTATTATCTTCCTGCAATAACTGAGAGAAAAAAAAATCCTATGTGAGGGTAAATATTTCTACAGAATCTAGAGTTAGGTGAGGTAAATGGGGCATTTGACCTATATAGGGAATGTAATGCAGGAGAAACAAGAAAAAGAAAGTATCCTCAGCTTCTAGCAAACTGATCAGAGACTGGGCAAAGTTTAAAACTGGCTTTACAAGCAGTCACCAGGCCACTTGTCCAAGGAAAAAGAATGACTTCCTAGGAGAGTAGGATCTGAGTTAATTCAGATCTTTCTCTAAGGCATCTCCCATAGAGTAGATGATGTGCATTGCTTATCAGGATTTCCAAGTCCCCTTTTCTTGCACAGGGAAAATAGTCTGAGATGAGTGACTGCTTCAGGAATGTGCATGACATCAGAATACAACCATTTCCCCAAGAAGTCCCAAACCCTCTCCTACCATTCCAGAAGAGTTTACCAGGGATGGTTCTCCTGTTGATGCTCAGTCAAGATTATCAGGTAAACAGCTCACTCAGAAAGTATTAGGGAAAGCACTGTGAGACAGTAAATGATGCAGGAGGCTTGGAGTCAAACAAACTTGGGTTCAAATCATGACTTCATCATAATGACCTTGAATAACTGATTTAAAACTCACCGAGTCTAAGTTTCTCTTTTATAAACAGGAGACAATAAAGAATAACCCAACAACAGAACAGCCTTAGAAAGGGTTAGGCGAGGAGCTGCAGGGTCATTCTTGGTTGTTACCTTGACAGGTTCTGTTTTCGCTCATCCTGGTTGACAGTAATTGCAGCTTGGACTTTCTCTGTATTGTAGCAGTTAATAAACTATAGGGGATACAGTGCGTGTTTCCTGGTTTGTGCCGCAGTCATGACACTCTGTTAGGTTAACGCTACCATTATATGCAGTGAGGTGAAACCCAGCACCTTTCTAAGTCCAATTATTATAAACTGATTTCTGTTTATTGGCCTAGTTAAGCTTTTGAAAATGTGTCTATTCTGTGAGTAGATATAGTAGAGTAGTATAGCAACGTCTAAGGCTTCCAAAAGAAATGCTGAACCAGGAAAAAGGGTGTTTCTGAGTGAGTCGCAGCAGATGCTAGTGGCAAGCATAAGTGATTTTTCTCTACATAAGTGAGCACAGAAGCATGATTAGTGTGGGTAGTAAAAAATTGACTATATTCTAAAGTGTGTCTCACTGGAGTTATTGTGACACTAATATCAACAAAGCCCTTAGCAGACATTTTATTTTTTTAGAATATTAATTAAATTCTCTACACATCTATTTTGTATATCTAAAATATAATGTGAAATGTCTGGATACCCCAGTCCCAAATTCTCTGACCTTGTGCTGCTTGGTTTCTTTGGATGGTTCTGTGGTCCTCATTTCCTATGTAGTTGTCGATGAAGGGGCTTAAGGAGTAAAGAATTCAGCATTCACTAGTACTGTGTTACTCCTTAGTCTCATGTTCCAGAAAAGGCTAATAGCTGTTCTATTTGTATGTATTGTGTTACAGTGAAACCCAGCCAGACCCAGGTCCTCCAAGGTCTCCAAGGTCTATTCCTGCCATCCTGTTCAGGCTGTCGTGCCCCACAGATCATTCAGACTGTGGCCATCGTGGGCACCATGATCACAACACACAAGCTATACCTGCATCCTGCCTTAGTCAAGGTGAGCAAGACCTATCTTATCTCAGTGACTTATGTAGTTCATGGCATCTTTTCCTTTTGTTGCAAGGGACACACACATAGTTTACAATTGCTGGAGCCCTGAAGGAGCATGGTGTTTTTCCACAATTGGACTCGACATACTTGGACTCTGTCTGAAAGCCCAGTACTTCTTGACAGCCTGGCCATATTTCTCCCCACTGTTACCATCTTTGACGCCCAGGCAGCTGATGTTGTTATCAACTGTACTCTTCCTCCTTGTATCTTTCCCCTTCCCTCCTTTTCTCGCTAACACTTTTCCTTTCTCTTCTTTCTTAATCATTAGATGTTCTCCATGTCAAGTTTTGCTTTCAACCATAAAACTGCAAGTCATTTTGAGAATCAAAAGAACAGTCTTCACTTTTCTGAAAAGTTCATCATTTCACAACCATGACCATGTCAAACTGGTTCCCAGGGATGCCCTCTCACTCTTCTTTATTTCTCTGAAAGTGGCCACAGTGGTTTGGCTGCCCCCCATTCCCACACGACGTGACAAGGCCAGTGGGGCCAGCTCCTGGTGGCCCTTACCTTCACTGGAGATGAACTGAGACTCTAAGCCTGAGACTGAACATGACGCTCCTGCTGCTCCTTATCAGCGCTTCTCATCTCTGTCCCCTGTCTCTTTTCCTCCAGCTTTTCAGTCTCAGAGTTACCTGTCACCACCCACAGTCCCTGCAGAGCCCGGAGATTTCTCCTTGAAGGAAAGGTTCTGGAGAAATCAGAGGAATTAATAAAGACTGCAACCAATTCCCAACTTGTGCTGATACCCCAGAGGGTGAAGAGAGTGGGTGTTCTCTCATTAGAAATTTTTAATCTTCCAAGTAATAGCTCATTTGGGAGCATCCTGTGTCTTCCTGTTCCTTTTAATAATGTATTTCCGAACTTTAATAGGGGAAATTCTTTATCTCATAAATATGACGAGTAGGAGATCCATTTTAAAAATGTTATCGAGATAACTGCACGGGTTTACCTGGAGAATGCAGTGCCCTGTGATCAGACACTGACTGAGGGCTTCCCACCTGGAGCCTCGGGCCCCTCGGAGGGAGGGGCGGGCCGGACCCTCCTCCCTCAGGTGGGCCTCCTCCGGGGCATTCCGCATGTGGGCCCACCTCAGAGCAGAAGTCTGTACTGGCCAACGGCAGGTAGCTGGCTAGAGACACGGACCAAAAGCGCCCAAAAGCCTGGGGCCACCCCGGGGGCGGCCTCAGGAGCCTGGCCCAACCCAACAGCACCTCTGCAGGAGCTCTTGTGGTCCGGAGGCTGCCGGAAAGGCAGAGGGAGAAGGGCTGAAGAGGGTGGAAGGCCTGAGTGTGGGCGTTACGGTGAGTGGCCGCTAGAGGGCGCGGAAGCTCTGAGGCTCTGGGGCCGGACTTGCAGCCTTGGAGATGGGGTTAGCCCACTCCAAGGCGGAGCCCAGAGAGGAGGGGTTGGTTACCGAAGGCCTCTGACTCTGTGGCGGAGAAGGCAAAGGCAATCCACTGCAGTACTCTTGCCTGGAAAATCCCATGGACGGAGGAGCCTGGTAGGCTGCATTCCACGGGGTCGCTAAGAGTCGGACACGACTGAGCGACTTCACTTTCACTTTTCACTTTCATGCATTGGAGAAGGAAATGGCAACCCACTCCAGTGTTCTTGTCTGGAGAATCCCAGGGACAGGGGAGCCTGGTGGGCTGCCGTCTATGGGGTCGCACAGAGTCGGACACGACTGAAGCGACTTAGCAGCAGCAGCAGCAGCTGACTCTCTGGCCCATATTCCCTTGCCTCTCAGGACAGAGGTCTGCCTTCAGCATCTGATGGGGTACTTCTAGCCTGGTCGGGTGACCCAGTGGGCAGCCGTCTGCAGTCTGACTGCCTTTTGTCTCTCCAGAGACAGGACTTGGGACCCAGAAATACCTTGACTCTTGAGCTTTCCGTTTTCAAGCTGCAGGCTGCGTGGGTGGTAGCATGTGGAAAACTGGCATAGTGGCCATCAATGTGGAGTGTGTGATAGTGGTGGTATTTTGGTGGGTGGAGAGTTCTTCCTTGTTGCCCTTTTTCTGGAGATTTTTCCCCAAACGTCCCTCTTCCCTCTCCATCTGAGCCTCTTCCTCCTGTTCCTGCCAGGTGGAAGTGACCCTAGTGTTCATAGCAGCATTATTTATGGTACTATTTACAAAACATGGAAGCAACCTAAATGTCCACCCATGGGTGAATGGATAAAGAAAGATGTGAGATAGATAGATATAATGGGATATTACTCAGCCATAAAAAAGAATGGACCTAGAGATTATCATACTAAGTGAAGTAAACCAAAGACAAATATATGATATCGCTTCTTTGTGGAATCTATAAAAATTATACAAATGAACTTATTTACAAAACAGAAACAGACTCACAACCACAGAAAACAAACTTATGGTTATCAAAGGGAAAAGGGGGGTGGGCAAGGGATAAATTAAAAAGTTTGGATTAACATATACACACTACTACAAATAATATAGATAACCAATAGGGACCTACTGTGTAGCACAAGAAATTCTACTCTGTATTTTGTAATAACCTATAAGGGAAAAGAACCTGAAAAGGAATATATATATGTATATGTATATATACACACACACTAAGTCACTTCTGTCATGTCCAACTCTTTGGGACCCTATGGACTATAACTTGCCAGGCTCCTCTGTCCGTGGGATTCTCCAGGCAAGAATACTGGAGTGGGTTGCCAGGCCCTTTTCCAGGGGATCTTCCTGACCCAGGGATCAAACCCACGTCTCATGTCTCCTGCATTGAAGGCAAGTTCTTTACCACTAGCGCCATCTGGAAAGTATATATACATATATAACTGGGTCACTATGCTGTATACCTGAAACTAACATGATATTGTAAATCAGCTATACTTCAATTTTTTTAATTTTTTTTTTTTAAGATTTTCAGTTGCAGGTATGGCCAGTATCCTGGGACAAGCAGGCACTGGTCCATTAACTTGGGGCCATCCCATTCAAGTTAGCCTATCCTCTTTAGCAGGGAATGGGTCACTGCCAGAGGAACTAATTAATGGAGAAGGGCATAGACTGTGAGGACGAACTCTTGAGAATCCCACAGAAAACCCCCAGACTCGAGCTTTACCCATCATGTAATGTGTTCCACCTGTTATTAACTGTGCTATGGAAGCACTGTAGGACATATCCATATTGCATTCTACTCTTAGGAATTCAAAATGCTTGTTAAAGTAAATCAACTTGTAACTCTCAGATAAACATCTTTGGACACTAACCTTTCTTGAGATATAATTTGAGAAATGGAGCTCTTGGGTATGTGACTATAGCTGAAGAGCTAGTTTTCACTCTTGAGAGCAAGGGAAGCTAGACACAAAAGAGGACCTATAAAGTTCAACCACAGGGAAACACCTGTGGTTTCAGATTTCAGGAAAGTGGTTGCCCTGGGGGAAGCTGGTTCTGCAGGGGTGGTCATGAGCTCTGCTGGGACACAGTAATATTTATTTCACTTCTTGGTCTAGTTCCTGGTTGCCTGAGTATATTTATTTATGAAAAGTAATCAAGCTTTACAGCTATGATTTTTACTTATACCTCAATGGATGTTATACTTTAACAAAATTTGACTTCAAGAAAAGAACTGAAAAAAAAAAAAAAAAAAGAAAAGAACTGTTTTGATGTGGAGACAGGAGTTGGAGTTAGACCTGGGACCACCTGGCACCTACACCCTGTGGGAGAGAGGTGAGGTGCTTGTGAAGGTACTGTAGAACATGGCTAAGAGGATGAGGTTCAGAGCCAGATAGAACTGGATTTGAATCCCCATTTTGAGGCTTCTGGCTACGTAAGCAACAAGAAGAGCAATGGGTTAGGCCAGAGATAACAGTCGGGGGCCAGACCGTGAAAGATATAAAGTCAAGATAAGGGTTTTGGTTTTCATTCTTAGCTTAGGTAGAGAGACAACAAAATCTCAAAATACTTCATGTTCTATGCAATACACATCTTTATCATGAAGGAGAAAGAAGACTGAACTGAATTCTGAAAATAAATCTTAAAATCGTGGTAGAAAAACCAAAAGGGGACAGAGAAAGCAAGACTACACAATCTTGACACAGATTCTTCAATCTGTGTAAGAGCTTGCACAGCCAGTCACAGGTTTGGAAGCAGATGAACTCAGGTGGCGCTAGTGGTAAGAGCCCCCTGCCAGTGCAAAAAGAGCCATATGAGACGGGGGTTCAACCCCTGGGTTGGGAAGATCCCCTGGAGGAGGAAATGGCAACCCACTCCAGTATTCTTGCCTGGAGAATCCCATGGACAGAGGAGTCCCTAGTCCTCGGGGTCACAAAGAGTCGGACATGACTGAAGCGACTTAGCACGCAAGCACGAAATTTTATTTGGCGTTGAAAGGAAATGCCTTTCCCTTCATGTCAGTCAGAGACTCTGCTTTCTCTCCATCCCCTCCCAAAGAAAAGAAAAACCTTTTTTTAAAAACCATCTCCCTGTCCTATCACTATTACCATAGACAAATATCCACATGAAATAGTCTCTTCTCCAGCTGGCAGATGCCCTAAGTCAATTAGCATTATTCCTTTGACAGCTATGCATTTAATAGAAATACACAATGTTCTTACTTGATCATGCTTACTTAAAAATAAATAGGATTTTTATACTGATAGCCATGGTAATTGAAATACTTGTAAAATGAAATAAAACCTCCCAAAATCAGGTAGACAGTTTACTTTGAAAGAAAAAGGCACTAAGAAAATAATAAGTAGTTGAGACTAACAATAAGGATGGCAATTTAAAAGTATAAAATGGAAAACAGAATTTCACTCAATTTAAAATTTGTACCATCATTCAATAATTGTAGACATTAGAATACATTGAGAGATCACAGTGTAAAGGGAGAATGAATAAGATGGATCGAGGCATTTTATCCAACAATATTAGTACTGCTATATCTTCTTGAAAATTCCTCAAATATATAAAGGATTTTTCCAGAGAAATGAAATTGGAGCTGTGCTTGCATTACATCAAAAGAAAACCAACCATTATGTTGATTTCTGGGAACTTTGACATATGTGCTAAGAAAAAAAAAATTGTAAGAACTTGAATAATATCCATTTGGTTCTACATCTATGATTTATAAGCAGGCACTTTTTGTTCTTAGGGAATATGATAAACAATTACGCAATATTCTTAGTGTAACTGTGAAGTATGTAAGAGTATAAACATTGATAAAATATGCTAAACCTGTGTCTTTTCTCTGTTAAAAATTATCTTGTGCTGAACTAACTTTTTTGAACTGATCATCTCTTAAATCTTAGGGGCAAGGTGAACAATTTAATCAGTTAGTCTTGACTACATGTTCTCTGACCTTTTAATGCAAATAGAAGAATGGATCCTATTAGTCACATTTTTTTTTTAACATTAATTTCTGGGTATGGCTTCCCTGGTGGCTCAGACGGTAATAGCATCCACCGGCAGTGTAGGAAACCTGGGTTCGATCCCTCTGTTGGGAAGATCTGCTGGAGAAGAGAATGGCTACCCACTCCAGTACTCTTGCCTGGAAAATTCCATGGACAGAGGATACTGGCAGGCTACAGTCCATGGAGTCACAAAGTGTCGGACGTGACTGAACGACTTTCACTTTTCGTGTTTCCCCATGAGGAAAAAAAATGAAAATGTTAATTTTTTGTGTCATCACAGATAGAAAAGAAAACCTGCTTTTACATTTCCAGTGTCATTACTTCACATATTAAAACTAAGTGACAACTAACACTCCAATCTCTCTTTAACAAGCAACAGATAAACATTAGAACACGATGACCCAGAAAATTACCAGTGAGGTGTCCAAAAGAGAGTATGGTTCCAAATGTGACTGGATTTGCCAGTCAGTATCTTAAGCACACTACTAGCACTTTCTAAAACCACCAGAACCTCATTTTTCTTATCCATGTAGTATCACATACTATATCTACCTCCTGACATTCTTTGAATGATAAAACAGATAACAAAAGCAGATGACACGAAGTTGACTAGTAGAGATATATTTGGTATATTTGAGATAATCTTGGAATAGCACAACTGGTTTAAAAGATAAGTCACCTAACACGAACTCTACTTATGGAAATTTCCTCCTAGTATCACGTGGACATTACAGGAATGGCCTGGTCCCTGACAGAAGCCACACTCTCTACTTTGGGCTGATGTTCTTTTGCACATTTCCTGTCTTTTTCTTTTCTCTCAGCTAAGGCTGGGGTTCTTAACCTGGCAGCTGTGAGTCAGGATTAGGAGATACCAAAGCTTCCCTGAAATGTACACAAAATGGTGTGTGGACTTGGGTCACTTTTCTGTGGAAATGCTTCATGTATCTTTGCCGATCATTGAAAGGGTTTTGCATTCTGTCCTTCAACCATTCAACTAATGTTAATTGTGTTCATGTGGATCACTATGTGCTGGGCACAGTTCTAAATACTGATAATACAAAGACAGCAGCTGTGTTTTTATGAAGCTAACATTCTCAATCCCAAAAAAGCCAGGAAGCCCCAACCTAAAGCTTAAGGTAACTTGTTACGGCTGTTCTTGTATGCCAAAAATGAATAATTACTCTCCTTGATTGTTCTGTGAATGGACATCTTCTGAATCAAATATAAGCATTAAGACTTTTATTTGTTATCTTAAAGAAGTAACTATGGAAAATCATGTTTATTACTTCTAAAAGTGTATCTATATATAAAACTATATATATATACATATGCATGCATATATACTTATACATGAATTATATATTTGTGTATGTGTGCTAAGTCACTTCAGTCATGTCTGATTCTGCATACCTGTGGACTGTAACTCTCCAGGCTCCTCTGTCCATGGGATTCTCCAGGCAAGAATACTGGAGTGGGTGGCTGTGCCCTCCACCAGTATATCTTCCCAACACAGGGATTGAACCCACATCTCTTATGTCTCCTGCCTTGGCAGGTGGTTTCTTTACCACTAGCGCCACCTGGGAAGCCCGTACATGTGCATGCATGCTAAGTTGCTTCAGTCATGTCCAACTCTTTGAGACCCTGTGGCCTGTAGGCTGCCAGGCTCCTCTGTCCATGAAATTCTCCAGGCAAGAACACTGGAGTGGGTTCCCATGCCCTCCTCTAGCAGATTTTCCCGACCCAGAGATCAAAGTCTCTTACATCTGCTAAACTGACAGGCAGGTTCTTAACCATTAGTGCCACATGGGAAGTCCCGTGTATCTATGTGATTGTACAAAACCTTTCTTGTTTTAAATTATTTCACTACTATGTACTTCCATCTCTTAAAATAAAATTGTTTAAATAAAATGGAAAGTTTATATTAGTCTCATGTCTTAGTGTTAAACAGATGTTGCTACACAGAAAACTGGACCTTATTTTTATTCTCCACAGGACTTAGAAAGTTAATTTACATAGTAAAGATATTCAGCAAATGTTGGTACAGAGAATTAATGAATTACAGGATAGATGAATGGGTAAATAAATTAACAAATCTACATTTAGTAATGAGTTTTAAATGCTAAACTCCTTTAGGCTTATACATACCAAGAGTATACAAATTAGTAATTCCAGGATACCACTTCATGTGAGAAACACAAAACCAAAGGCAGCACCTTTCTGACCAGGTTGCTTTTAGCAATCTAAGATGCCTACAAAATGCCTATTACAGACTGAGAAAAAAGAAACTGGAACTTCCATCATATTAACCTTGCCTGCTGGGGGGCTACAGTCCATCGGATGGCAAAGAGTCAGACACAACTGAGTGACTAACGCACATTTTATGTAAACAGAAGCCATAAACCTTTTGTGGTATTGGTTCACCCTCTCTCCACAATACATGTCTAGAAATTACTTTTTCTGGCCAGCAATTTGCCCTCACCCCTAACACCTCCAGGACTGGAGACTGATTGACTGAAATCTTTGGCATTAACTTCAACAAGGAGCAAAGTGAAACTCGTGAAACTGAGGGCAAGGCAAGCTGATGGGACTCATTCATTATACCTAGTGCCCCGGCTTTTCTATAATCCTTGGTTGACCTTTCCTGGCACTGGAAACAGGATCCAGTAAGGGAAAAAAAAAATCTGTGATAGTGAAAGTGGACAGAAAAACAGCAGGGACCTTAACAGATTTCCATTGCCCACAACCACGGTTCTCAAAGTGGTCTCTAGACCAGCAGCAGCAGTAGCACCTGGGAACTCATTGTACTAGTCTGCTCAGGCTACCATAACAAAATATGGCTGGTTGGGTGGAGTCAACAGTAAACATTTGTTTTCTTATAATTTTGGAGACTGGAACTCCCAGATCAAAGTTCTGGCCAGTTTGGTTTCCAGTGAGAGATCTCTTTCTGGCTCTTCCTTTTTTTTTAAGTCACCAATCCAATCAGTTTGGGAACCTCACTTAACCTTAATAACCTTCTAAAAGCCATGTTTCAAATACTTTGGGGATAAAGACTTCAGCACACAAATTTGGGAAGACACAGTTCAGCCCACAGCACCCGTTACAGATGAAAATTCTGGAGCCCGCCTCAGATCTATCAAATCAGAAATTCAGGAAATGGAGTCCAGCACTTTGCGTCTTATTAATCTCCCCTGGTGATTTGCATAAATATTAAGGCCTGAGAAGCACAAGCCTTCAGGAAAAATTCCCAGCATTGCATTTCATTTTCTCCATAGGTTTTCCCATTTTTACTTTCCAACCTTGTTTCTTATTGCTCTTGGCCACGAACTCTGCTTCTGCTAAACAATTTCTCACCATGGCCTGAAAGATCACTTGTACTCTGTCTTCTAGACTCTTGTTTACACTCTTTCACCAACCTCAAATTGTCTTTCAACCTCTTTCATTAAAGCATCACTTTAACATCTCAGCCACGGTCATGTCTTCTTTCTCCAGATAGCAGAAGCCCTAATTGTCTGAACTTATCATTTTCGTATTTTATAGGTTTTACTTTCCCAGAGTTCATAGATTATATTCATCTGTAATTTTAGCACAAGACTTTGCACATAAAAAGTACTTAGTCTTCAAAATATTATATACTGTCTTGCTTATAACTCTCCTCTGTAAGTGACTCCCTACAACACTGATTCCAATACAGCACTGATTTGGGACATCAAACAGCCCATTGGTCTCTGACATAATGCCACTTCTAAAGCTTCTTGATATTAAAAAATAATATACTATCTGTAATTTATTAAGTCATATAATAAGCACTTAGTGCATTACTTCATTAAATTCTCACAATCACTCTAAAATAGGTATTATGATCCTTATTTGACTGAAAAAAGACACTGTTTAGATCATTCCAAGCACAAGTTGAGATAATAATTTTAAAAGTAAAATTCCATTCTCAGCCTACCTGCAGTGTTCAACAACCTCAACATCTTACAGAAATAGGAGATGTACTGCTCAAAGTACTTGGCACTCTTAGTGATGGTGCTGATCTGGTCCCTGGAGGTGATGTAAATAAGCTGGGTCACTGTGTATTTTTCTGGGTTGTAGCCCACCAAGGTCATCTGCATCTGCAAATCTTGAGACACTATGGTACATACTTTGTCCTCTGTGGGGAGAAAAATGCCACAACAATGGGGCATTAATATGCAAATGCATCTTCAAATGTCAGAAAATAAGTGAGTTACACTCTCATTGATGTATTCCCTGAACTGCTGTGTATGTGTGCGTGTGTGCATAGTCGTGTCTGACTCTTTGCAACACTATGGACTGTAGCCCGCCAGGCCCCTCTGTCCATGGAATTTTCTAGGCAAGAATACTGTAATGGGTTGCCATTTCCTACTCCAGGGTATCTTTCCGGACCAGAAATCAAACTCAGGTCTCTTGTGTTTCCTGTGTTGGCGGGCGGATTCTTTACCACTGCACCACCTGGAAAGCAAGGATAGTATCTTTAAAATAACCCGTACCCTTTTCTCACACCTGAGTTCTGCTTATATGACAAAATACAACAGTAGTATTTTTATTAAAAACAAATGCAAGTTTACAGCCATACCACCCTGAATGTGCCTGATCTTGTTTATCTCTGAAGCTAAGCAGAGTTGGACCTGGTTAGTACTTGGATGGGAAAAACAAAAGCAAGTTTCCTCCTGAAAATGAAAACAAATAGCCTAAGTATCTGATTGATACTCTAACATACCAGCATTGAATGTGAGGCTCCTTGTGTTCCAATGCCTTTCCAATTCTGTAACCCCTCATTCCTCCCATAGAAGAATATTTGCTCCTTCCTAAGTGAACTAAATGCTCCCAAGCCGCTGGATCTTTGCACATGCTGTTTGTTCTAATCAGAATATGCATCATCATCTTGTCAACAAATGTTCTTTTCACGCTGAGCTTTCAGATAAAATTAGAAACTGCGTGTTCTGTTATTGAAATGCTCTACACAAGTGGGATGTTGCAAATAAATAATTATTTTGTTGTTTTGCACCCTGAAAATTTCAATGTGTGGAAAGGAGAGGCAGATATAAGATTGATAGGGTTAAATTAAAATACTATAAAGTTCTGTATTTGAATTAGAAGCATCACTATGAACCCATGATGATGCTACCTTTTATTTTTTTATTGAAGTATAGTTGATTTACATGTTGTGCCAATCTCTGCTGTAAAGGAAAGTGACTCAGTTACATACCTATAGATATTCTTTTTTCAATGTTCTTTTCCTTCTGGTTTATCACAGGATAGTCAATATAGTTCCCTGTGCTATACATCCTATACATAGGATGCTTATCCATCCTATATATAATAGTTTACATCTGCTAATCTCGAACTCCCAATCTTTGCCTCCCCCACCCCTGACCCCCCTTGGCAACAACAAGTATGTTCTCTATGTCTGTGAGTCTGTTTCAGTTTTGTAGATAAGTTCATTTATGCCATATTTTAGATCCCACATGTAAGTTACAACATATGCCATTTGTCTTTCTCTTTCTGACTTACTTCACTTAGTATGACAATCTCTTGTTGTTGCATCCGTGTTGCTGCAAATGGCATTATTTCATTCCTTTTTATAGTTAAACAGTGTTCTGTTGTATATAAGCCATACCTTCTTTATCAATTCATCTCTTGAGGGACAGTTAGGTTGTTTCCATGTCTTGGCTATCATGAATAGTGCTGCTATAAACATAGACGTGAATGTATCTTTTTGAATTATAGTTTTCTCCAGGTATATGCCCAGGAGTGGGATTGCTGGGTCATATGGTAATTCTATTTTTAGTTTTCTGCAGAACTTCCACAATGTTTTCCATAGTGGCTGCACCAACTTACATT